AGATTCACCAAAGTTGAAATGAAGGAAAAAATGTTAAGGGCAGCCAGAGAAAGGTCAGGTTACCCACAAAGGAAAGCCCATCAGACTAACAGCGGATCTCTTGGCAGAAACTCTACAGGCCAGAAGAGAGTGGAGCCAATATTCAACATTCCTAAAGGAAAGAATTTTCAACCCAGAATTTCATATCCAGCCAAACTAAGCTTCATAAGTGAAGGAGAAATAAAATCCTTTACAGACAAGCAAATATTGAGAGATTTTGTCATCACCAGGCCTGCCTTACAAGAGCTCCTGAAGGTAGCACTAAACATGGAAAGGAACAACCGATACCCACCACTGCAAAAATATGCTAAATTGTAAAGACCATCGATGCTAGGAAGAAACTGCATCAACTAATGAGCAAAATAAGCAGCTAACATCATAATGACAGGATCAAATACACACATAACAATATTAACCTTAAATGTAAATAAGCTTAATGCTCCAATTAAAAGACACAGACTGGAAAACTGGATAAAGAGTCAAGACCAATCAGTGTGTTGTATTCAGGAGACACATCTCACATGCAGAGGCACACATAGGCTCAAAATAAAGGGATGGAGGAAAATCTACCAAGAAAATGAAAAACAAAAAAAAGCAGGGGTTGCAATCCTAGTCTCTGATAAAACAGACTTTAAACCAACAAAGATCCAAAAAAGACAAGGAAGACTACTGCATAATGGTAAAGGGATCAATTCAACAAGAAGACCTAACTATCCTAAATATCTATGCACCCAATACAGGAGCAACCAGATTCATAAAGCAAGTCCTTAGAGACCTACAAAGAGACTTAGACTCTCACACAATAATAATGAGAGACTAACACCCACTGTCAATATTAGACAGATCAATGAGACAGAAGGTTAACAAGGATATCCATGACATGAACTCAGCTCTGCACCAAGCAGACCTAATAAACATCCACAGGACTCTCCACCCCAAATCAACAGAATATACATTCTTCTTAGCACCACATCACACGTATTCCAAAAGTGACCACATAGTTGGAAGTAAAGCGCTCCTCAGCAAATGTAAAAGAATAGAAATCACAACAAACTGTCTCTCAGACCATAGCGCAATCAAATTAGAACTCAGGATTAAGAAACTCACTCAAAACCACGTAACTACATGGAAACTGAACAACCTGCTCCTGAATGACTACTGGGTACATAACGAAATGAAGGCAGAAATAAAGATGTTCTTTGAAACCAATGAGAACAAAGACACAACATACTAGAATCTCTGGGACACATTTAAAGCAGTGTGTAGAGTGAAATTTATAGCATTAAATGCCCACAAGAGAAAGCAGGAAAGATCTAAAATCAACACCCTAACATCACCATTAAAAGAACTAGAGAAGCAAGAGCAAACAAATCTAGCAGAAGGCAAGAAATAACTAATATCAGAGCAAAACTGAAGGAGACAGAGACACAAAAAACCCTTGAAAAAATCAATGAATCCAGGAACTGGTTTTTTAAAAAGATCAACAAAATTGATAGACTGCTAGCAAGACTAATAAAGAAGAAAAGAGAGAAGAATCAAATAGACACAATAAAAAATGATAAAGGGGATATCACCACCAATCCCATAGAAATACAAATTACCGTCAGAGAATACTATAAACACCTCTATGCAAATAAACTAGAAAATCTAGAAGAAATGGATAAATTCCTGGACACATACAACCTCCCAAGACTAAACCAGGAAGAAGTTGAATCTCTGAATAGATCAATAACAGGTTCTGAAATTGAGGCAATAATTAATAGCTTACAAACCAAAAAAAAAAAAAAAAGCCAGGACCAGATGGATTCACAGCGGAACTCTACCAGAGGTACAAAGAAGGACTGGTATCATTCCTTCTGAAACTATTCCAACCAATAGAAAAAGAGGAATCCTCCCTAACTCATTTTATGAGGCCAGCATCATCCTGATACCAAAGTCTGGCAGAGACACAACAAAAAAAGAGAATTTTAGACCAGTATCCCTGGTGAACACCAATGTGAAAATCCTCAATAAAATACTGGCAAACCGAATCCAGCAGCACATCAAAAACTTATTCATCACGATGAAGTCGGCTTCATCCCTGGGATGCAAGGCTGGTTCAACATATACAAATCAATAAATGTAATCCATTGCATAAACAGAACCAACAACAAAAACCACATGATTATCTCAATAGATGCAGAAAAGGCCTTTGACAAAATTCAACAGCCCTTCATGCTGAAAACTCTCAATAAACTAGGTATTGATGGAACATATCTCAAAATAATAAGAGCTATTTATGACAAACCCACAGCCAATATCATACTGAATGGGCAAAAACCTGGAAGCATTCCCTTTGAAAACAGGTACAAGACAGGGATGCTCTCTTTCAGCACTCTTATTTAACATAGCGTTGGAAGTTCTGGCCAGGGCAATCAGGCAAGAGAAAGAAATAAAGGGTATTTGATTAGGAAAAGAGGAAGTCAAATTATCCCTGTTGGTAGATGACATGATTGTATATTTAGAAAATCCCATTGTCTCAGCCCCAAGGCTTCTTAAGCTGATAAGCAACTTCAGCAAAATCTCAGGATACAAAATCAATGGGCAAAAATCACAAGCATTCTTATACACCAATAACGGAAAAACAGAGAGCCAAATCCTGAGTGAACTCCCATTCACAATTGCTACAAAGAGAATAAAAAACCTAGGAATCCAGCTTACAAGGGATATGAAGGACCTCTTCAAAGAGAACTACAAATCATTGCTCAACAAAATAAAAGAGGACACAAACAAATGGAAGAACATTCCATGCTCACGGATAGGAAGAGTCAATATCGTGAAAATGGCCATACTGCCCAAGGTAATTTATAGATTCAATGCCATCCCCATCAAGCTACCAATGGCTTTCTTCAGAGAATCGGGAAAAAAAACTACTTCAAACTCATACGGACACAAAAAAGAGCCCACATTGCTAAGATAATCGTAAGCAAAAAGAACAAAACTGGAGGCATCACACTATCTGACTTCAAACTATACTACAAGGCTACAATTACCAAAACAGCATGGTACTGGTACGGTACCAAAACACATATTTAGACCAATGGAACAGAACAGAGGCCTCAGAAATAACACCACACATCTACAAGCATCTGATCTTTGACAAACCTGACAAAAACAAGCAATGGGGAAAGGATTCCCCATTTAATAAATGGTGCTGGGAAAACTGGCTAGCCATATGTAGAAAGCTGAAACTGGATCCTTTCCTTACACCCTATACAAAAATGAATTGAAGATGGATTAAAGACTTAAATGGTAGACCTAAAACAATAAAAACCCTAGAAGAAAACCTAGACAATACAATTCAGGACATAGGCATGGGCAAGGACTTCATGACTAAATCAAAAGCAATGCCAACAAAAGCTGAAATAGACAAATGGGATCTAATTAAACTAAAGAGCTTCTACATGGCAAAAAAAAGAAAAAAAAAAACTACCATCCGAGTGAATAGGCAACCTACAGAATGGGAGAAAATTTTTGCAATCTACCCATCTGACAAAGGGCTAATATCCAGAATCTACAAAGAACTTAAACAAATTTACAAGGAAAAAACTAACAACCCCATCAAAAAGTGGGCAAGGGATGTGAACAGACACTTCTCAAAAGAAGACATTTCTGCAGCCAACAGACACATGAAAAAATGCCCATCATCACTGGTCACCAGAGAAATGCAAATCAAAACCACAATGAGATACCATCTCACACCAGTTAGAATGGCAATCATTAAAAAGTCAGGAAACAACGGGTGCTAGAGAGGATGTGGAGAAATAGGAACACTTTTACACTGTTGGTGGGACTGTAAACTAGTTCAACCATTGTGGAAGACAGTATGGTGATTCCTCAAGGATCCAGAACTAGATATGCCATTTGACTCAGCCATCCCATTACTGGGTATATATCCAAAATATTATAAATCATGCTGCTATAAAGACACATGCACATGTATGTTTATTGCGGCACTATTCACAATAGCAAAGACTTGGAACCAACCCAAATGTCCATCAATGATAGACTGGATTAAGAAAATGTGGCACATATACACCATGGAATACTATGCAACCATAAAAAAGGATGAGTTCATGTCCTTTGTAGGGACATGGATGCAGCTGGAAACCATCATTCTCAGCAAACTGTTGCATGGATAGAAAACGAAACACCGCATGTTCTCATTCATAGGTGGGAATTGAACAATGAGAACACTTGGACACAGGAAGGGGAATATCACATACCAGGGCCTGTTGTGGAGTAGGGGGAGGGGGGACGGATAGCACTAGGAGATATACGTAATATAAATGAGGAGTTACTGGGTGCAGCACACCAAAATGGCACATGTATACATATGTAACAAACCTGCACGTTGTGCACATGTACCCTAGAACTTAAGATATAACAAAAAAGTAAATAAAATGATACAAATTCTCTTATATGGATATTGTTTACATAAAATTAAAAATCATAAGCTACATCCTTACCCCAGAAAAATGCATAATTACAAAAAATATTATGCTCTTGGTAAACGTTTATAATTAGTACCACTGTTAATTAAAATGAAAAAATTCATTTAGCATTTCTTTTTTTTTGTTTTGTTTTGAGACAGAGTCTTGCTCTGTCACCCAGGCTGGAGTGCAGCGGTGCAATCTCAGCTCACTGCATCCTCCACCTCTGGGGTTCAAATGATTCTTCTGTGTCAGCCTCCCGAGTAGCTAGGACTCTAGGCGTGCACCACCAAGCCCAGCTAATTTTTGTATTTTTAGTAGAGATGGGGTTTCACCATGTTGGCCAGGCTGGTCTTGAACTACTGACCTCATGATCCACCCACCTCGGCCTCCCAAAGTGCTGGGATTACAGGTGTGAGCCACCGTACCTGGCCTTAACATTTCTTAATTATCTCTTATAAAGGGATGTTATATACACTTAGATTTTACCTCTTTCAATATCATCTATTGGAGATGCTGGGGACATCTTATCTTCAGATGGAGAATGTTTCACAAGATTGGGAGTCCTGGCCGAATTCCACATTTGTTGTGGCTGTTGTTCTTTACGATACTGAATTTTACTGCTTCCTTCAACTCTGCAATTAAGAATATCAAATATTGAAACAGGTATGACAGGAATGTAACAAAAATTTCAACTTACAAAGTTACTAAAACTGACCACTTTTTTCCTAAACATCTTTAGAGTAACATTCCGTAATTAAAACATTAATTTAGTTCATAATTTAACAAGTATTTGTCAAGTTCTATTTCTGTGATACATATGTCCATTGAGGGATACAAAGAAGAACAAAAACAAAACCAGTGCCACACTTGGTGGCTCATGCCTGTAATCCCAGCATATTGGGAGGCCAAAGTGGGAGGATTACTTGAGGCCAGGAATTCAAGACGAACCTGGTCAACATAGTGAGACTCTGTCTGTATAAAAATAATAAAAATATTAGCTGGGCATGATGATGCACACCTGTAATCTCAGCTACTCAGGAGGCTGTGGGAGGATCATTTGAGCCCAGGAGTTTGAAGCTGCAGTAAGCTATGATTGCGCCACTGCACTCCAGCCTGGGTGACAGAGTGAGACCTTATCTCATAAAACAAAACCAAAAACAAAAATCCAGGCTGGTGCAGTGGCTCATGCCTGTAATCCCAGCACTTTGGGAGGCTGAGGAAGGAGGATGGCTTGAGGCCAGGAGTTCAAGACTAGCCTGGGCAATATAACAAGACCCCCCATCTCTATTTAAAAATAAATAAAACAACCACTAAAAAAAAAAAAAAAGCCATTGCTTAAATTGAACAGATAAGATATTCACAAATGACTAAAATAAAAGGAAAAATATAAGTGTATAACAGGTACAATATATTCCCTAAGTTCTAAGATTATCATTTCTGTTAAAACTAAATCACTTCTACAGTTTCCATTCATAACTTAAGACAGGCATGATAATAAAGGAGATTCAAATACTTTTCTCTCAACATCTTTAAGAAGAGTGTATAACAAAAGTATACTTGATTTTTGCCTCTCCCATTTCCAGTCACCAAATCCTGTCAGTTCTTCCTTCAAAGAGTCTTTAGAACCTCACTTTTCTCTTCATTTCTGCTCTCAAAAAATCCTGGTTTATACATTTTTCTGATTCCTGCATTGTTTCATTTACTCAGCTTTTCTACTGAATTAATGTTTTAAAACAAAACTGTAAACATGCCAATCCCTGGTTAAAAAGACTTTAATAGGCAACCACTACCAGCAAGATAATGTCCTAATTTCTTAGTTAATATTGATGGCACTAACCTCAACCAACGAAATTACAAACTTACCTCTAGCCCAATATCAATATCGCCCCCTACTTTCCAAAATATATACACGGGTACAGAGACAAACCTCTGCTCCGTTCAAATAGGTCTTACTCATTGGCCCTGAATAAGTCAGATATATTCCTGCCTTCAAACTTGGCTTACACCCTCATCTCCTCTCTAATCAATTAAATCGTATTTCACAAACTTTCTTCTGGTGTGAATCACAGCAGGGCATAGATGGTAGAGGTGAGGGGATATTAAAAAATAGAGTTTCCCAGGATCCTTCCCTGATTTAAGGCTGGATTCAGGAACTAATTTTTAACAAGCACCCAAGGTAATTCTTATGATCCTAACCTCCCCTTAAGGTACATCAAAAAGGCCTCCCTGAATGTTCCGATCTACCATTACTTCTCCTTTTTCTTAATTCCTAGAGCAATTTTTGTCTATACTATTTGCATGGCTTTTAGAGCAAACATCCTTATATTACATGGTAAGTAATGTCTCACCTATTTCCAAAAAGGATTTGAGATGGGTATATTCTCCTATTGACTTTTTAAATGGAATGGTCTGTTTACCTGAATAAAACGCAGAAGTTCTGAGGCGTTTGCAGAGCAAACTTTCCTTTTTCTAGTACCTTACACAGCATAGGTACTCAATAAATTTTTACTAATGAAGATGAAATTATTTTAGAGAATGTATAATGGCTCCCTTCAATCCAGTTATACAGAAGTATCTACAATAGGATAAAAAGTATACCTATACCTATAGAAAGCACTTAGAAGCAAAACAAGCTTTTATATATCACAGGGTGATGTGGTAAAAAGCTTTTGGCTTAGGATCTCCATCAAATTTTTTTTTTTTTTTTGAGATGGAGTCTTGCTCTGTCGCCCAGGCTCGAGTGCAGAGGCCGGATCTCAGCTCACTGCAAGCTCCGCCTCCCGGGTTTACACCATTCTGCCTCAGCCTCCTGAGTAGCTGGGTCTACAGGCGCCCGCCATCAAACTTAAACTTAGAAAAAGATTAAAACATTTTTGTACCACACATAAATAAACCTTATATTATAATGTTACTTAATATAGTAAATTTTTTCCTGACATTTCCTTAGAAATTAATGTTTATAATATAATTTATTTCATTAAACCACATACCTTGTTTTTTTTACAGTGATGTTGCTGCTGAGTTTTTCTAGTCGACATTCTCCGGTATCATGGTTAATAATCAAAATGCATTCTTTTAAGTAAGGTTTTTTTGAACCTTTGAAAACAGTTACTGGTGGAGTTGAACCCTGTTTAAAAAGTTAATTATTATTACTTAAAATTTATCATAGGAATTCAGTTGGGAAGGCCTTTGAAATCTTGATTCTGTGTTTCTCCTTCTATGTTATACTTCAAGTCACCCATAAACTACCTAAATTTACTACCCTGAATCCAAAGAGTGTAGTAAAAAAGACAGATGAAGATAGGCTGAAATCTCAAAGCTGCTGTCATTGAGGAAAGGGAAGAGAGGAAGTACTCACCTTGGGACCGTAAAGATTCGTTTCACTGGCCTATAACGAGCAATTGAGATTCAATTCTAATACAACCAATATATTTTATGAATAAGGAAACAGAGCTTTGAATCATACTTTCTAGTCCTCTTTTTTTTTTTTTTTTTTTGAGACAGAGTCTTGGTCTGTTGCCTGGGCTAGAGTGCAGTGGCACGATCTCTGCTCACTGTAACCTCCACCTCCCGGGTTGAAGTGATTCTCCTGCCTCAGCCTCCAGAGTAGCTGGGACTATAGGCATGGACAACCACGCCCAGCTAATTTTTCTATTTTTAGTAGAGACGGGGTTTCACCATGTTGGTCAAGCTGGTCTCGAACTCCTGACCTCAAGCGATCTCAGTCTACCAAAGTGCTGTGATTACAGACATGAGCCACTGTGCCCAGCCTCCTCATCTTCTTTCTTATTGCATTGTAAGTTTAATTTTTAAAATCTTGCATTTTCTTAAAGTAGTACCTCCCCATGCATATTAAGGAACACCTTTTACACTAAACCACTAATTAATTTTAGCATCCTTAAAGGTAAGATAAGCAGACATTATGTGCTTAATGATGTAATATAAAAGTACTCAGTGCCATCCATAAAATACTCTTGCCCAAAACCACACAAAAACCCCAAAGAATTTAATTCTTATCAAACCCCAAATAATCCGTAATCCAGCCTGCCCTTAGATATATAACTACCATTTCATAGAAAACAGAAGGAATAGAGGAACAAGATAAATACATCCATATAGAAGTAATTTGAAGTCCAGAATGTAGGTGTATTCTCTTGGACAGATAATACGGTTTTTCCAACAAACCAATGGCATAAAAAGGGAACGAGAACCAGGTGCAGGCACTGTAGTACCAGCTACTTGTGGAGGATGAGTGCTGAAGCAGGAGGACAGCTTGAAGCCAGGAGTTCTAGGCTTTAGTGTAACATAATCACACCCGTGAATAGCCACTGCACTCTCACCTGGGCAACACAGTGAGACCCTGCCTCTAAAAAGGATAAATTTAAAAAGGGGTGTAGAGAAAAGGAAGGGACTTTTAAAGAATAAAAGAGACAAGAAATATAGTATTCAAATACAATGTAGAAATCTTTTTTGGATTCTAGTTAGGACATTTTACAGACAAATGTCTGTAAAAACATGTTTTTGATATCATCACAAAATTGTGACTGTGGATGAAGTATTATTATTAATTATGTTATTTGTGACAATAGCATGGTGCTTAGATAAAGGTAGAAATGTCCTTATCAGTTAGAGATACATAAGTAAGCATTGATGAAATGGTGCATTGTCTGGGATTTGCTATAAAATATGCCAAGGGAAAAAAGTGGTAAGACACTAGATTAAAAAATATATATTAGCAAAATGTTGGTAATTGTTAAAGCTCAGTGATGGGTACATGTCATTCATTATACTATTCTGTTGGCCATAAAATAAACCTGGATCATTACTAATAAACTACATCTACTTACATGCTCCTCCCATATCTTTTGTCCCTGCCCCATCAAACCTGAAAGAATTTTATGTTTGTCATTCTTTTGCTTTATCCTACATATATGTATTTCTAAACAATTATTTGTGTATGTTTGTCTTTGAAGTTTATAAAAGTACATTAAATTTTAATGGATTTATCATAATAATTTTGTCAAATATTACAAAAATAATAAAATAGTACTGTTAGGTTAGAAAAGGATGACTTCTAAAAAGCCTAAGGGGTGTATCATAAAGTTAATCATTAGAGATTTACTAAATGACCACTAGGAGGAGTATAAGATAAATTTGGTAATTGAAAATGCCATAAAAGATGGGTAGTGTAGAGATTTCTGAAGGTATGGAGGGAAAATGATAAATGTAAAATAAAGGAACAGTTGTTTGTGGGTTTTTTACCTCTCCCAAAGACTACAGTAATCTACAGAAAATCAAGAATGTACAACACATAAATGAAGACATGTCTGGGCTAGCTCTAAAATGGTTAGATGTGGAGTGATTAGTTGAAGCCCCGGTAAGTTGGAGAGTCAGGAGCATGATCACAACAAAACAAAGTGGGTCTACTTGACTGGTAAGTAGATTTTTCAGACGTGTTAACTGAAACAAGTAAGATATCCCAAAATAGTTACCTAAGGACTCCAAATTACAGTTGATAAGAGATTTGTGCAATATATTCTTCTTAATGATACCTGTAGTCTTAATTAGAACGGAATACATCTAAAAATTACAGTGTATTATTGTTCTCTGAGCTCCTGAAAATAAGAACTCATCATTAATTTTTTAAAAATTGTTCTCAGTACCTGAAGAAGCACCAAGACCTTTATAAATATTCAATGAATGTTAAATATGAACAATATAGACAATTTCTGGTTATAAGTAACACATGAAACAAATCTTTCATAATCTCTACACCTGCCATCTACATTTTGAACAAATTTTATAAATGTAAACTTTCTCCCTCATTGAATTGAGCACCATTCCTAACTTTTAAGCTTCAGTTTCTGTCCATTCCCTTATTCAATACCCCAAAAAAGGCAACTATTAAAGTACCAGACAACTACTAAGCATATGAACTATCATTGTCTCTAAAAAAATATTGAATACCTCCTATCAGCTCCATGTTCACTGTGATTACACACCTTCAATTGTCATTCACCTAGTTTATTGTTATTCTTCTCCCTACTCTCTTTCCAATTTTGTTCCCCTTTCTGTGGACAGGCAAATCTAATCGTATTGTTTCTATGCTTAAAAATCTTTCTTTGCTTAAAAAACTATGTATTCAGGATAAAAGCCATATTCCATAAACCTGCACATGGACCCTCCATGATCTTCTCATCTACTCTTCAACTTTCTCAATTTGTCACTGTTTACAAACCACACAGAATTGCTTACAATTGGTTTACGTGAATGACTGACTTAGGATAGTCAACCAAAAGACAAAACTATAAAAAATAAAATATAAAATAAGTGAGTGGGCCATACATGGTGACTCATGCATGTAATCCCACCATTTTTGATGGCTAAGGTGGGGGGATCACTTGAGCCCAGGAGTTTCCGATCAGCCTGCACAACATGGGGACAACCTGTCTCTACAAAAAAATTTAAAAATTGGCTGGGCGTGGTGGTGCACATTTGTAGTCCTAGCTGCTTGGAAGACTGAGGCAGGAGGATTGCTTGAGCCCAGGAGTTTGAGACTGCAGTGGGCTATAATTGTGCCACTGCACTCTAGGCTAAGTGTCAGAATGAAATCTTGTCTCTAAAAAATAAATAAAATAAAGTAAGTGAGTGCATATGTTATTTGAGGGAATGAAAGGACTCTTAACCATACAACAAAGGAATTAGAACCAACACCTCAACATAGGGAAATGAAGAGAAAATATAAATATAAATAAAAGAAGTGATAAAAGGAATCTGGCTATTTATATATTCCTAAGTTTAAATGGATAAGAATAGACTTGGCCGGGCACAGTGGCTCATGCCTGCAATCCCAGCACTGTGGGAGGCTGAGGCAGGTGGATCATCTGAGGTTAGGAGTTTGAGACCAGCCTGGTCAACATGGTGAAACCCCGTCTCTTAAAAATACAAAATGCATGGTGGCAGGCACCTGTAATCCCAGCTACTTGGGAGGCTGAGGCAGGAGAATTGCTCGAACCCAGGAGGTGGAGGTTGCAGTGAGCCGAGATCCCACCACTGCACTCCAGCCTGGGTGACAGAGTGAGACTCCATCTCAAAAAAAAAAAAAAAAAAAAAAAAAAAAAAAAAAAAAAAAAAAAAAAAAATGAAGGATAAGAATAGACTGAGAACGTATAATGTAAGAGCTAAATAAGTATTCTTGACATGAAGACATTCTATAATGTAATACAATATCTTGGCAAAAACTTAGGTGTTTGGCTGAGGTGGAAAGAAAGAAAAGTGGAAGGGAGGAGAAAAAAGTCTTATTATTAAGAGATAATAAATGTATTCTAAAAATCTCACTTGATAGAGGTAGGAAAATAATGCAGGAACTCAGCTTTCATATAAGAAAATAAAATCATATGTCTCATTATGAACACCAGGAAAAGAAAATAATCAATAATGGAATGGAAAAGTATACTACTACTCCCAAAGTAACAAGAGTAATTTTAAAAAGTAATGAAAAAAAAAAAAACCAAAGACAAAGGGAAAAAAAGAAATGGTTGGTAAAACTAATAAAGAATATAAATATAAAAGAAGAAACAACAAATATTTAAAAATTAATAAACTATAAGATAAATTAAAATCAAGTATATAAATTTTGAACTAAATGTGAATAGACTGAATATACAGTATTCTCCCAATAAAAACAGAAAGTGCCAAATTGGGTTTAAAAATAAAACAGCATATTATATTAAAGAAAACAGCATATTATATTAACAAAATATATACTTCATACAAAATGTCAGCTAAACAAAAGGAAGAGACACTAAGATTCTATGAATACACAAAAGACAGAAAGTAAAGGTAGCTATGTAAATGTCAGCTAAATAAAAGGAAGAGACACTAAGATTCTTTGAACACACAAAAGAAAGAAAGGTGGATATATATATATATATATATATATCTCAAAGAAGTAAGCACTTAAGCTTCAAAACACTAAAATAGGAAAACAATGTTATTTTGGAATAATCAAAGATACATTTCATTAAAAAATATAAAAGGGTGTTAAAATAGGACTCTGGTCCTAAAATCAAATGAGATTTCAAGAACATAGTGCACTATTTTCCTATATCAGCTAAGTAAACCCATTGGAGAAAACCAGACCAGGTTCATTTGGAAAGGGACTTTGCCCAAGAGGGTCATCTGGAGTACCCCTCATACATATAGGAGACTCATAAGTATAGGTTTTGAGGGTTAAATTATACATAACCACTAGAAATGCAGTGCCTGAATAATAGATAGTTAAAAGTTTCCAGTGGGCTATTTCATAAAAGCCCACAGAAGTACCTCATAAGATAAAGAGTCAACGCTAAAAATATGCCAATCTCAGCATCAATGACAAATCTTAACAGTCAAAGTAAGTAAAACTTTTTCTTTCAAAATTCAACACTTTGAAATTTTATAGCAATCATGGAGAATTGTTTGTAAGGAAGAGAGATTTGTAAATGCCCACTATTTAACCAGACTATTAGTGCTCGTTTTTATTAGTTTCTTCTATTTGGTAATACCATAGAAACCTAAGACAAATGGAATTAGAAAATCTACCCTACCAAAGAACCAAAGGTACTCTTAAAATTGTAATATAATAAAAGCTCTATTTTATGGTCTGACTCTAAGCTTCCTAGGCAGTTATACCAGGATGATGAAAGCAAGTTCATATAGAAAATAGAAGAATCTAAATGCTTCAAACTAATAACCATTACATTTCCACAAAATACCAACAGAATTAAGAAGACTGAAGAAAAGCAAATCTCCTACCTGCTTAAAGATGTTCTTTAAGTGGAGGGGGAAAACCCTCACAAAGTCTATTTGAGAATGTAATTTCCATTGTTATTCATGATTGTTCAAGGACTACATACCCAGGAGAAACAATATTTGCTTTTGACAGATGGTGATCTAAATAACTCTTTCATTCTCACTGTTTAAATGAGTTATAATTAATTTATATTATATAATAGACCCTTTATCAATCCGGTTCCTAAATATCTAAATATTACCCACCTTGTCCTCATATGCACCCCTTTTAACCTAGCCTACACATACGCCTACATACGTAACTACATATATGCCACTAGGCATTATATGTAGTTCTTCAAATGTTTAACAAACTTTCTTTTGTTGTCGTATCTTAGTCCTTGTCTTTTTCTTTTCTCTGACTAAAATGTCCTTCCCTCTCTCCTTTACCTGGGTAACTTTAACTCATCTTCAAAATTCAGTGTATCCTGATGTGTTCTCCCTGTACCCTGGCTGAGATACCTCTCTTTCCTGTTTCTATAATATTCTATGTATATCTTTTTATAGTTCTTAGATTTCTACATTTTAATCAGTTATTTTCTGTCTCTCCCATTAAATGATAAAATGTTTCAGGATATTGACTATGTCTAGTCTACTTCTGTATTCCCAGTGGCAGCTACCTTAGAATATGACTTATCACACAGAATGTCCATGCATATACACACACACAAATACTGAGGCATATTCTTTTTTGGACATATCTCTGGGGGCTTGTGGAAAGGGGTGGTGGTGGTGGTAGTGACTTTTTCCCAAATGATTTCTTTACAATTTCTGAAATTTACACTTTTCAGGCTTGAAAACATAGGCCTCCTATAACTGTGCTTCCTTTAAGACATATTTCAATTGAGACCATAACCAAACACCTGGAAGATGGTAACTCTTGGTTAAAACAAGATATGAGTGAATGACAAGGGTTTATTATTAAACATAACAATCCCCATTTATTTGTAGTAGAAGAGCAATGCAAGGGATGAGGATGGGAGGATGGCAACTTGAGAAAACAATATTCTACTTGGCAAAAAAAAAAAAAAAAATCCAACTAAAGTGATTCTGCAAACCAATTATTACTGATCAATAATACTATATAGCCTGAGACAATAGATAGTGGTTCCTGTTTTTTGTTGTTGTTGTTGTTTGTTTGTTTTTTTGAGACAGAGTTTTGCTCTTGTTGCCCAGGCTGGAGTGCAATGGTGCGATGGTTCCTGCTGTTAATGTGAGGCTTTAAACTCTTAAAATACGGTGGTTGGTTCGGGTTTTTCTTTAATAAACATCATAAAGCAAAGAAGCCTTAGGTTACTGGAGATTAAATTTCCAAATTGTTTTAGAAATACTAGAACCTGAACAATTTTTCATAACAGAGTAATAGAAAGATTAACTTATCTACAACATCTCATACTAAATATTTTTTATTTCCTTCAGTTCCAGAAAGAACAAATGGAAATATTCAACAAAAAGCCCCTACACATTTAATTAGCCTTAGGAAAATCTCCAGAGATAGTAACTGATACGGTCTGACATAACAGTGGGCGCTCAATAAATGGTTAACTGATAAAAATAAGAAAAAGACAGCAGATGAGAGGATACAGAGTTTACTTGCTATACATATAACCATGGTAAACCATCTCATTAATGCATAAAGGAGAATGTGGATGGACTAGCACAAAACCACTCCTATTGCAAAAATTAAACAAAACAAAGAAAAAAATCTCAAAAAAACCTCTAGCATTTTCTTTATATATTGAAATATAAAGTTACAGTCTTGATTTTTTCTGAAAATAAAGTCAGTGTAAAAGAAAAGCAAAAAGCAAAAGAAACTTAAGCTGAATACTCAAAAATTTCTAACTCAAGGACTGAGAAAACTAGAGCATACAACAAAGAACTTGTATTTTTATGCAAATAGTATTTGGTACCGTTACCTGGATACATCTGGAAATTTTTTTAATGGACAAAACTTTTGGTTAGGGCCTCCCTGACAGTCTCTTTCTTTTTAAAACCACTCCTCAAACTCCAGCTGAAGTTCTTTCAAAAATACAATCGAGGCCGGGCGCGGTGGCTCAAGCCTGTAATCCCAGCACTTTGGGAGGCCGAGGCGGGCGGATCACAAGGTCAGGAGATCGAGACCACGGTGAAACCCCGTCTCCACTAAAAATACAAAAAATTAGCCGGGCGCAGTGGCGGGCACCTGTAGTCCCAGCTACTCAGGAGGCTGAGGCAGGAGAATGGCGTAAACCCAGGAGGCGGAGCTTGCAGTGAGCCGAGATCGCGCCACTGCACTCCAGCCTGGGCGACAGAGCGAGACTCCGTCTCAAAAAAACAAAACAAACAAACAAAAAAAAATACAATCGAATCATTAGAATTCTAATCATTGGACTTTCAGCCAGAGTTTGAAGAATGGTTTTTAAAAGAAAGAGATTTTCTAATCTAACAAATCTAATCATGTTACCTCTGTGTATTAAAACTTGGAATGGTTTTCTAATACCTATGGGTTAAAGTTCAAATTCTACATTACAACATAAAATATCCTTCACAATTTCATCTTGACCTACTTTTCTAGTCTCTGTTGCTATCAATCATTTTTCTTTTTCTTTTCTTTTCTTTCTTTCTTTATTTTTGAGATGGAGTCTCACTTTGTCGCCCAGGCTGGAGTGCAGTGGCGTGATCTCCGTTCACTGCAACCTCTGCCTCCCAGATTCCAGCGATTCTCCTGCCTCAGCCTTCCAAATAGCTGGGACTACAGGCGCCCACCACCACGACTGGCTAATTTTTGTATTTTTAGTAGACACGAGGCATCACCATGTTGGCCAGGCTGGCCTCAAACTCCTGACCTCATGATCCACCCGCCTCAGCCTCCCAAAGTGCTGGGATTACAGGTGTGAGTCACCGCACCCGGACTTTTTTTTTTTTCTTTTTTCCTTTTTCTTTTTTTGTGAGAAGGAGGCGCGCTCTGTAGCCCACATTCAAGTGCAGTGGCACGATCTTGGCTTACTGCAACCTCTGCCTCCCGGGTTTAAGCAAGTCTTCTGCCTCAGCCTCCGAGTAGCTAGGACTACAGGCGTGAGCCACCACGCCCTGCTAAGTTTTGTATTTTTAGTAGAGATGGGCTTCACCGTGTTGGCCAGGCTGATCTTGACCTCAGGTGATCCACCCACCTCGGCCTCCCAAAGTGCTGGGATTACAGGCGTGAGCCACCGCTCCTGGCCCATTTTTCTTTTTTCTTCTCTTTTCTTTGTTTTCTTTTCTTTTCTCTCTGTGTGTGTGTGTGTGTGTGTGTGTGTGTGTGTGTGTGTGTGACGGATTCTCACCAATTGGCAGGCTGGAGTGCAGTGTTGTGATCTCGGCTCACTGCAACCTCTGCCTCCCGGATTCAAGCAATTCTCCTGCCTCAGGCTCCCGAGTAGCTGAGACTACAGGTGCGCGCCACCACACCCGGCTAATTTTTGTATTTTTAGTACAGACGGGGTTTCACCATGTTGGACAGGATGGTCTCGATCTGTTGACCTCGTGATCTTCCCGCCTCAGCCTCCCAAAGTGCTGAGATTACAAGCGTGAGCCACCACGCCTGGCCGTCATTTTTCATTATACTATGATTTACTGTGTAAAGTCACTTATTCCACAAACTCTTTGTTCTTTCAGTATCAGAGCCTTTCATATACTGTTCTGTTTGCTTATTTTACTCCTTATCTACCCAATAAAATCTTACTTGTCCTTTAAAGGCTCAGCTGAAATATTGCTTGCTTTATGAAGCTTTTTAAGATTCCACCAGGTAGAGTATTTGCTTCTACTTATGTGGTTACATAGAATTTTGTATATGCTCTAACTTATAACACTAGATGTTTCTGTGTCTGTCTGCTATAAAAGATTAGGACTAGAAGGCAAGGGATATGCTACTATCCTAAGGTCAGTGTTTAAAATCTGGCTTATAGTAGGCATTTAATAAATATTTGTTTAGACTCCAGTTTTTTTTCAAATCATTTGCTATGATAGTTCTTGGAACTATTAAATAGACTAAAGTATTTTAAGATTTTTCTGCCTAAAGTAGTTTACAATATGGTTTTTGCTTTTCTCTGCTTATTACTTTAACCAATTATCACTACACAAATTCTGCAATAGTTTTCATTTAAATTTACTGAGCATCCCACAAAAGTGATCACTTTAAATATATAGAAATACTCACTTCTATATTTGGCAGAGTTATGGTCACCTGTTCACCTTCACCGACCTCAAGGTATCCTTCACAAGAAGTGTCAATAGAAGCAGGTTTGAAGTCATCTAAAAATAGATACAAATACCAATTCTTATAAAATGTAATGATATTTGGATATAAAAATTATGAGCATGTTTCAGAATGATAAATCATTTTTAAGAGCTTTGTAATTAAAATGGTTTAAAGTCTTCATATTGCAAATGAACAAACAAAATACAAAAAAGTATTTTGTTTTGTATTTTATTTGTTTATTTCTGTATGCATAATTCTGAGGAAAAGAAATAGCTAAACTCTAAAACAGAATTACTCACACTCATGCTTCCATAGAATCCTGTTTAGACCAAGATGAATCTGACTAACGTGTTCTACTGCTAAAAGGTAAATAATGTCAGTGTTTTCACAACTTGCTAAAAAACTGATATAGGTAGAATGTTTTCAATTTTCAGTCCTTTTTTCCCATAAATTTTTCTTTTTTATGTTATTTTTAATGGCTGTTGACTTAGTTCATGAATATTGGCCCATAAATTTTTTTTAAAGCACCTTTGATGCCTACTGCTACTTGTCTGTCATTCTAGCAGAACAAAATGAATGAATACATAGCAAATACAGTACATATTAATGAATAAACTTAAGAAAAAGTAATGTTTCTAGTTTAACAGTTTTTTCATGAATATGTACACCACTAAATGATGTCTAATTTAACCAAATCTGTCACTTTGTAAGATCTTAAAGTAAAATTTAATTTTGAGTTAAATCATAGTTCAAATGATGCCATTAAAATCTATCATGTAGGAGGAAATTCAGGGTACTAAGATATTTCACATGTTAAACAAGCTTAAAAACCTCTAAGCAATGAAAGCCATTTAAAACTAACTCATACCAATATACATCAACAACTAATAATTCTGATACATAGTTCCCTGTGGTATATTATATTAACTCCTTATTAAAATATAGTATAATGCAAAAGAGAACAAAAATTAACCTTTGACTTTTACAAAGTGACACATGTAACCACCAACCAAATCAAGAAATAGAACATTACCAGCTCCACAGAGGCCCCTCCCAGTTATTACCCATCATTCCTAAAGATTCATCTTATATTAACAAAAAGGCCCCAAAGGCAAAAAGTCTAAATCCAAAGTAATGGATATTTATAAGTGGAATGTAGGGAATTATAATTAGCAAACCTTGGGAAAGGAGAATTTTCCAATAATCATCAAATTATTGCTCTGTCAATAAACAAGGCTGGCCCTGCTTCACAATGACAATTAAAATAGCTGACATTTATGGAACACTTACTACATGCCAGGTACCATGCTTAACACTTCATATTTACTTCTCATAACAACTCTGAAAGAAATGAAATTCATCCTCTATTCCCTAAATAAACATAAATGCAAATGAATATAAACAATTTACAGAAAGTATTTTTATAATATAGTTTATTCTTCATGGCGCTTTAATTCAAAACTGAATAGATGCAATAACTGTCTCTTAAATTCTTGATGCTTATTCCTAGATTTTAAGATACAGATATAAAAATAGCATAAGCAATATGAACTGTGAAAGTGTTTTGATTTACAATGTATCCCTAGAATGTATAACTGAAGAATCAAAGGATAAAGATCAGACTGAAAATAAATTGAGGAGTTTGTTAGTAGTGGCAAGGTGAGAAAAGTGAAAGGTATAATTAAAGTGTTAAGTTTTAGATGCTTGAAAGAGGGTTTGGACTCAGGGAAATAAGTGTTAAATAATGTCAGTTGTTGAAAGGACAGTGCTATTGAGGAGAAAAAAATTAGAACTGAACTTGAGAAAGTATCATAGGGATAAAGTAGAAGAGAAGCCAGAAAATCTGAGAGTATGAACACAGATATGAACCAAAACAACAATAATAACAGCTATTACATGCTGATCAATTTTAAAAGTTTTTCCTGATGATGTTTACTTTGAAACTTCACACCAATCCTGAAGAGTAGTGAATACCCCTATCTTACAGATAAGGGAAGTGAGAGTGGAAAAAATTAAGTTCCTTGCCCAAGATGATGCAACTGTTTTCTAAAGCTAGAAAAAAGAACTACAAAACCCAGTTAGAATAAAAAGATGAAAGGCTGGCCAAGATATATAAATGTCAGCAAAGAGAGAAAAAAAGTTTAGTTTGGGCTAGCAAATACCATTTGTGAATCTGAAATAATAACCAAAGTCATTTTATATGGATATATACAGTAGAAATGAAGTAACTGCCTCATAAAAGCTTTCACTATTTATAAATAAGTTATCATCATGGCCTATGTGGGTGCCCATACTAGTGGACTTTGTTGATCCCCAACTTTATTTATTATTGTTTTTTTGAGACAGAGGCTCATTCTGTCCTGCATGCTGGAGTGCAGTGGCTAGATCTCGGCTCACTGCACCTCTGTCTCCCAGGTTCAAGCGGTCCTCCTGCCTCAATTTCCTGAGTAGCTGGGATTACAGGCACGCACCACCACCCCCGGATAATTTTTTTTTTTTTTTTTTTTTTTTTTTTTTTTTCTGAGACGGAGTCTCTCTGTCTCCTAGACTGGAGTGCAGTGGTGCGATCTCAGCTCACTGCAACCTCCGCCTCCCAGGTTCAAGCGATTCTTCTGCCTCAGCCTCCTGAGTAGCTGGGATTATGGTCGCGCGCCACCACACCCGGCTAATTTTTGTATTTTTAGTAGAGACGGTTTCACCATGTTGGTCCGGCTGGTCTCGAACTCCTGACCTCGTGATCCGCCCGCCTCGACCTCTCAAAGTGCTGGGATTACAGGCATGAGTCACCGTGACCGGCCTAATTTTTTATATTTTTAGTAAACACGGGGTTTCACCATGTTGGTCAGGCTGGTCTTGAATTCCTGGCCTCAAATGTTCCACCCTTTTCAGCCTCCAAAGTGCTGGGACTACAGGCAGGAGCCACTGCGCCTGGCTGGTCCTCAACTTTCTTTTCTCTTCTCTTCTCTTCTCTTCTCTTCTCTTCTCTTCTCTTCTCTTCTCTCTCTCTTCTTTCTTTCTTTTTTTTTTTTGAGACAGGGTCTCCTTCTGTAGCCTAGGCCGGGTGCAGTGGCACAATTTCCGCTCACTGCAATGTACGCCTCCTGGGTTCAAGTGATTCTCCTGCCTCAGCTTCCTGAGTAGCTGAGATTACAAGCCCGCGCCACCACAGCCCGGCTAATTTTTATATTTTTAGTAGAGATGGGGTTTCACCAAATTGGTCAGGCTGGAATTGAACTCCCGACCTCAGGTGATCTGCCTGCCTTGGCCTCCCAAACTGCTGGGATTACAGGCGGGAGCCACCGTGCCCGGCCGTCCTCAACTTTCTAATTTTAACTGTTCTTCAAAGTTCTGCTCATCAATCTAAATATTACTCTAAATATTCCTCTATGTATTTCATCATTTACATCTAATTATTACATCTTCTTTAATATTTTTCAAAGCCATCCCCTTCCATTCTTGCTGTGGACAAGCTAGTTTTCAATCAGCTAAACTACTGGAATACCTTATGGTCTGCCCTTCTGCTTTTCTCTATCCTTTTGCTCTCTTAGAATTTGAATCCTATTTCAAAGTCTCCCCTTCTCTGAAGTCATTTCAGGGTACAGTTCTTTCTGTACTATCCAGAATCTTAATTTCTTCTCCATTCCCGTAGCATTTACTAAACCATTAATTAAAACCTAACATAAACTACCTACCTGATATTATTTACCGCCCCCCCCCCCTTTTTTTTTTTTTTTTTTTTTTTTTGAGCCAGAGTCTCACTCTGTCTCCCAGGCTGGAGTGCAGCGGCGCGATCTCGGCTCACTGCAACGTCTGCTCCCAGCTTCACGCCATTCTCCTGCCTCAGCCTCCCGAGTAGCTGGGACCACAGCCATTCTCCTGCCTCAGCCTCCTGAGTAGCTGGGACCACAGCCATTCTCCTGCCTCAGCCTCCTGAGTAGCTGGGACCACAGGCGCCCGCTACCACTCCCAGCTAATATTTTTATATTTTTAGTAGAGACGGGGTTTCACCGTGTTAGCCAGGATGGTCTTGATCTCCTGACCTCGTGATCCGCCCGCCTCGGCCTCCCAAAGTGCTGGGATTACAGTCGTGAGCCACCGCACCCTTTTTTTTTTTTTTTTTTTTTTTTTGAGACGACGTCTCGTTCTGTCACCAGGCTGGAGTGCAGTAGCGCGATCTCGGCTGACTACCATCTCCGCCTCCCTGGTTCAAGCGACTCTCCTGCCTCAGCCTCCTGAGTAGCTGGGACTACAGGCACGCGCCACCACAGGCCGTTAGTTTTTATATTTTTAGTAGAAACAGGATTTCTCCATGTTGGTCAGGCTGGTCTGGAACTCCTGACCTCGTGATCCGCCCGCCTTGGCCTCCCAAAGTGCTGGGATTACAGGTGTGAGTCACTGCGCCCGGCATTTTTTTTTTTACTTTTCCTGAGGGAGTCTCGCTGCATTTTTTTTTTCTTTTCCTGAGGCAGTCTCGCTCTGTCACCCAGGCTGGAATGCAGTGGCGTGATCTCGGCTCACTGCAATCTCCGCCTCCTGGGTTCAAGCAATTCTCTGTCTCAGCCTTCCAAGAAGCTGGATTACAGGCGCCCACCACCACACCTGGCTAATGTTTGTAATTTCAGTAGAGACAGGGTTTCACCATCTTGACCAGGCTGGTCTTTAATTCCAGACTTCATGATCCACCCTCCTCAGCCTCCCAAAGTGCCGGGATTACAGGCATGAGGCACGGTGCCTGGCCTATTATTTACTTTTTCGTGGACATATCCTATTAGATTGTAATTTTTTAAAGCACAGTACTCATACTTTAATTTCTCCAGATAGTGGCTCTAGCACAGTGCCTTTAATGTAATAGATATACAAGAAATCTTGTAGTTCATTCAGGTTCATATTGTTCACTCTTCTCTGAATCACTTCTAAACTTATTTTAAGTATATATAAGGTGTTAAATTATGTGTAAAATGCTTGTTTTCTAATTATTTTCTGTGGGTCAGATTCACCTCTACTTCAAAACTCTCAATCTCTTTAGGGTAGACTGCCATTTTCCTTTTGTACTTTTCACTAGTATACTTCTGTTCTCATAGACAGCATCCATTATTAATATTTGGCAATAAAGAATTTTCTATGATAAATATTTAAAACCTTAGAAATGACATCCCAGAATAAAACTATGGCCCTCTGACTTCTAATATTTTTCTCACAGTGACACAAAGGGAAATACTGGAAGGTATGGTTGTCATCTAACTACAGCTAAATGATGCTTTAGATAGGCCAGCAAGATAACCCAGGCAGTCAAGGTGACCATTGGGAATCATAGTGACATCGAGGATGAGTAAGCCCAATCTCACAACACTGCTTCACCCAACTGCTGCCAAGAGAAGATATGGGCTCAATGTTACCAGTTTATCATTTTTAAAGATAAGCTGAAAATCTAGATTTTTATATAAAAGATTTTTATATAAAAGGTCCTGAATGTTAGGTATTTGCAACTAACTCAAGATAAAACAACAATGGTGTGGAGCAAATAAAGCATTTCTAAAGTCAAGTTCAGCTTATATGCTATTAATCTATAACCTCTGTCTTAGTGTTTATGAAGTGATTTTTTTCATTACAATATACTATCAATTTTAATCTTCACAACAAAATTTTGGGTTGCACATTTTGCCCACCTTTTACTAATGGGGAACTCCTCTAAAGTAATGAAGTCAATAAATGATGAAGTCAGGGACTCAAGCCACATACGTTATCTCATATTATATAGCCTATTTGTCTTACATCCACAGATCTTAACTTGTATGTGTGTATATGGGGAGCAGTATTAGGAGATGAGAGACAGTCAGTCATAAATCCCTATGAAAACCTGATGAAAATTGTAGACCAATCATTGATCCTCTCCACAGAAAAATACATATATGAATATACATATCAAATACTGTATAATCCCAAGGGGTTCACAGGTCCCTGAAGCCTACATAAATGCCTATAGTAAATGAGATTATCTGCAAGAGACAAATGTATGCAAAATATCTTTAGCTTTACTTAATGATAAACATGAATTCATAATAAATAAATCTACCAAAACTATTTTGAATCTCTTTACATTTATAATTATTCTACTGTTAGGATTAATAAATTCTACTCTTTACTCTTTATTACTCGTTATATCAAGCAGTGTTGTCTTTTGTCTTCACACACTTTTTAAAAAGTATATAACTTCTGAGTTTCAAGTGGTTTAGTTCTAGAATTAAAGAATTTGTTGAATAATCTCATGTTCATGCTTTCTGTATGCTTCTAAATGTCAAATGTACTCTCTTCTAAGTTGCTATGATTCCAGACTACATAGTTCATTTCTCAGTTCTTCTTTGTTTGGAAACCCTACCACCAACTTTACCATTTATTTATTCTCTCTGGATTTCTTTCATCTATGCAATTTTTTTCAGGTTTGCAATGGAATTACTTATTATATTGCATGAAGAGTAGAAAACCATTTTTTACTTTGTATTTAATATTTTTTCTGCCAATGTTTATCGCTTTTCTGATTATTTTGACTGTGGCATCACATAATGTCAATATTTTCATAAGAATCCACAATTATTATCATCAGTTTATTTTCTGGGATTTGAATGAATTCAACCAACTCCAAAACCCACACTGCTCATTAGCTCATCATTTAAGGACACAAAATAGTGGTGTCATTTACAAACTTAGGATTTCACAATTCATTCCCTTATCTGGATATAAATAGTAAAACTAGTACTACTCCCAATTCAAAATTGATTCTAGTAGGTCCTGTTGTTGAAACTCTTCTACCCAGTAAACACCTGTTGCTAAGGATTCAGCTTATCGTTGATAGAACATCCCATGCCCTTCCTACCACATGGCAGACTATCTTTTTGATAGTTTTTATTGGTGAACCCAGATAAATGCTGTTTCAAAGTCTGACTAAATTACATTCATTAGCACCCCTCATACACATATGAATGTAACTCTTCAACATTAATGGTGACTACTATTTATTCTCTACCCTGTGGCAAATATTGTGCCAGGTTGTTTATGCTACCTTATTTAATCTTTACAAAAAACATGAAATGTAAATATTACTATTATCATTTAGCCATAAGAAAACTGAGGTTGAGAGCTTAGAGAATGTTCCCAAAGTCAGGTGGTGGAGGCCAGGATTCACATCCAGGTTTGCCTGAAGTCTTATATTAGACAGGCAGAATTGCTCCTGTAAATAAAGGCAGAATATTACTTTCTCTCCAATGACATTGGCTTGAGGGCTGGTTATAAATTAGGTCCACCTTATGTGTATGAACATCAGCTTCATACTATTCTACAGTTTTCATCCCTCACTCTGAGTTCTTAAGAGTGAGGATTACATTGGAAATGAACCTGTCCTCAAGAATAATGAGCAGTTTTATTTAAATAAATCTAAAATGATTCTGTGCCATTACTACAACAACAACAACAACAACAACAAAGAAAAGAAGGACTGAAAACCTTTCTAATAGTTCTGTCTTCCACAGAACTAAGTGTGTATTCAAACATCTACGTTTATTTGTTTATTTATTATTGTCATTATTATTGTTGTTTTGCTTATTTTTGTTTATTTTCATTCTTGTAGCTGGATCATCTGATCCTTTGACTTTCAAGATACTGGCATTTTCAGAACCTTTATAAATGAAAGGCTTTGAAGGACCTGCAAGATTATTTTCAAAGGTAATTTTGTATTCATTTAAATTGGGGTTTGTGCCTTACATAAGAGAATATATACCCAAATCATGTAGAAATATATTCTTAAGCAAATTTTTATAATCTTAAGCCCTTGTAACTTGAAAAATTAATATTAAGACTATTGTGTACCGGAGAAGGAAGAGAAAAGGAGAGAGTAGATACTATTTGAGAAAAAGGCATGGAGAAACCAGATAAAGACGCATATCACACTTCTGGAAAATTGGACTGAAGAGAGAGAGAAACTGCAGAGCCAGCACAGCACTAACTATCTCATTGTGGGGAGCTCTGGATGAGAAAGTATATGATAAAGAGGAATAAACAAGGGACACTGTTGAAGATTTTCTGTTCACAAATGTCTCACCCATTTAGTCTACCAATTGGATGTTAATTTTGCTTTAAAAAACCCTTTTAGTAAATATATTCTTGCAGGATTAAAACCAGTGGTTCTTCATACCTTTACTCTGAGTAACTGTAACTAAATTGTCTACAACTTAAATAAACTTTTGGGAGAATGTATGTTTTAATTAGTTGTTTTGATTGAACTGTGGAACATTTCAGAGTAAAAACCATAAAGGTCTCTAAACAACCCGAGGGCAGAATGACTGAGAAAGGCGGAATGATGAAATATTAAGGAAGGGCAAGGCTGAGGAAAGGAAGTGAAAAAATACTTACAATTTTACCACAGAAAAATGAGAGGTTATGATTCAGTGATCTCGAAGTTTCCTTCCCGCTCTACCATTCTATGACAGCTGTTATGCAAAAAACGAATGTCTTACACATAAAAACTTGTATGCTATATTTTCCTTCCTGGAATCTATATCATCCAACTGTTAAAGCAAAAGAGCTCCTTTTTCTGCTCCAACAACATAAAAGAGAATAATTTATTAAAACTAGTTCCAGAGGACACAAAGAAAACCAAAGGATAGAAATCATAGGGAGGTAAGCATCTTCCAAATACAGAAATTAATAACACAACCTCGAATACTTTGATAATCAGTATTTGATAACTGAGTGAAATCTGGGGTCTAAAGAGATATATAGATCATTGGGGTGGTTGAGAATTTCTCCCTTTGCAAAGAACACACCAAATAACCCTCATCTGCCAGAGGTGAGAAAAAGTGAAGAAAAGAGAGGATATTGCCCCACCAGCCTCAAGGCATTCAACTTCCCCGGCATTCGGTCCTTAGTCCTTTCCCATTTGTCACCTTATTATCTTCGTGTCCACCCTTGCATCATCCACCTGTCACGTCTGTCTCCACAGTCACCTCTACAGACTTTTTTCACACTTTCCCTTCCTGTCTGTTGGTCTCAACGCTCTCTGTCCAGGGTTTACCCACATTTGCTCTACTCCGATTCCTTCCACCGACCCCCTAAGACTCCGAGTAGGGTAGAGGATCGCGCTGCCTCCCCCACTCCCCGCCCCGTAGTCTCCAACAATGTAAGGCGGACTGTGGGAACAAAACCCAGAGGAGTTTGTGCCTCTTCACCCCCATCCCGGGAGGCTCCCCCTCTATCCCTGGGCGGTCCTCACTCACAGCGCACAGTGTGGAAGGCGCAGCGCGGCTGCTTCTCGAAACTCTCCCCTAACTTGAGAACCCGCTCGCGACGGTCTAGGTTTGAGAATCCCGCTGCGCTGTTCATCATTACTCTCCTGCTCTGACTTTAACTCCGCCGCCGGTGCTCACTATCTGCCACCTCAGCCTGAAGCAGCTGCACTTGATCCCGCCAGCCGAGTCACCACAGACTCCACCCCGCGCCCGACGCGCACCGCCCCACCGGGAGCATCTCACGTTCTGATTGGCTTATTGGCAAAGGGCGCTCCGCCCCTTGACTCCGAGGCCCCTGGTCCCGCCTCCAGGCCCCTTCCCGCGTCGCGACGCAGGCTGTCCCGGGAAGGCCGCGGCGCTGTGGTGCGGCGTGGGAGCCGGGTTCTTTTGTGGAAGAACGCGAAGCGAGGATGAGGTAACTTATCTGAGGTGGTGGTTGGGGAGGGAGAGGGCCCCAGGGCGCCTACCGGGAGGCCAGGACCCCAGGCTTCTGGACGAAGTCAGCCGGCGTGTGAGAGCTCTTAACGGGAGAATTGGCCTGCCCTCACGCCCACTCTGTAGAGATCTGGTGTGGAAATTGAGGCCTGGGGAGGTGCAGTGTCCGGGCACAGGGCCTAGTGTCTTGTCCAAGGCCTGGTAGCGCGAAAGCCGGGTCTAGAATCTGGAGCAAAGGGGCCCCGCGGCCCCAGAATCTCGGTCCTTGGACTTGAAGCGACGCTGTTACCTCAGTAATCGTTTTCTGACCTTTTTGTATCAGAGGAAGTTTCTTGTAGGTCTTAGGACTGGAGAAGGGGATGTGTAGTGGGGAGGAAAAAGAGGATTAGGAGACAGGAACTGCAGACATTTAGGATCAGCCGCAACCGGATCGCACTGAATTTCCTTTTCATTTATTTTCCTCACAGTGATCCGTGGAGGCAGTAACAGGCGCGGCGAGGGAGAAGTGATTCCAGAAGAATCAAGAGGCTGGGCCGGCCCCAGTGGCCTGGCAACAGGGTAGTAGCATTAAAATAGATAAATAATTGTCCTTTTGTGTCAAATTTCATGAATTTAATGTAAAGATGGGAGAAGTGTTGAATTATAGGAGAAACACTCAAGAGAAAGTTTACGGATGGTTTCCATAACAGGTGGTTTTTCAGGGGAATTATGCAGTCCAACTGCACTCCCTCACTTTCTGCCTTAGTCACATTTGCCAATTGATTTTTGGGTAGGTGACTATGTCTCCTTCAACCTGTCTGTGTAAATCCTACCCTTTGAAGGTGTGCCGAAGCTGTTTCATATCGTAGTTAAATGCTTTAAGCCAGATGGTGGCTCCAGTTTGAACCCCTGCTTTATACTTAACAGTGTGACTTTGTGCCAGCTAATTACATTCCCCAGAGTTTAAGTATGCTCATTGTTCAAATTGGGGAAAAAATAATAGTACCCGTTCCTTAGAGTTGTTGGAATGATTAAATGAGTTAATACATGAAAGCAATTAGAACAATTCCTGGAGCATAACAAGAGGTCTCCAAATGGTTATTATTTAAGGTCCAGCTCTACACTTAATGCTACATTTTAAGACCGTCTTGGTGGCTGCCTTCTCTTCTAAATAGAATCATTCTAGGAGGTAGGAATTGCTATGTTGTTTACAGCAAGAAAAGTGGATCAGAGAAGCCCAGTCCTCTGACTTTATGGCCTGTATTCTTATCTGTGTCATCTATTTAGCATTTATCATATATCTGATATTCTTAAGTATATTTTTAAATATGTGTGTGTGTGTACACACGTACATATACATACTTTTCTTTCCCAACCGCAACAATAGCAGAGAGTATGTCTTGTGTGGAATCTTTGTGTCCCCTACATCAACCATACTGCTCTACACATGTTTGTTGATGACAGTAATGATTTAGTGATGTTTTATTATGGTAGCCAGGAGGGCACAAACTGTTTTGAGTCTGTTTTACTTTAGAGAGGCTTCCAACCATAAATCTGAGCTTTCTGTATTGTAACAAAAGAAAAACAGAAAGTTAAGAAATTGAGGCTCAGAATGCCTGAGGTTTGTGCATTTACTCATTCTTTCAACAGGTATTTAGTAAATCATGCTACATGCCAGGTACTAGTCTAGCCACTGGGAATATAGTTGTGAACCAAAGATCACAATATAGTTGTGAACCAAGCAGCCACCAAAGATGGTCTTAAATGTAGTATGATGGTAGAGCTGGGCTTTAATAATAACCATTTGGAGAACTCTTATTATGTGCCAGGAATTGTTCCAGTTGCTTTCATGTATTAACTCATTTAATCATCTCTAAGGGATAGGTAGGTTGCCCTCATGAAGCTTACCTTCTGAGGTGAATTTTATCCAAACATATGTTAAAATGAACTATGTTGTACTAGCTTAAGAATAGACAAACAGATTAAATTACTAGAAACTAAGTAGAGTCCAAAAAGATACCCTGCGTATGTGTATGTATACTTAGTGCATGAAAATGTGACATTTCAGATTGTTTTTGTTGTCTATTCATAACTAGTTACCTTATGAGTTTAGGACTGTTATGTGCATTTTTTAATCCATCAATAACTTTAACATTAGAAATTCAGATTCTTATTGACACGATTCACAAAAATACCTTACTTTCGAAGATATGTAAGGAAAACAAAACCAAAAAAACATGAAGATTTGGAGAATGTTTTTTACCTCTTGGGTTAAAGAGGACCGTTCTAAACATGACACAAAAGACAGACGCCATAAAGGAAAAGATTGTTATATTTCAGTATGTAAAAAATTGTAAAAAAGGCTGGACGCTGTGGCTCATGCCTGTAATCCCAGCACTTTGGGAGGCCGAAGTGGGCAGACCACTTGAGGTCAGGAGTTCAAGACCAGCCTGGCCAATATGGTGAAACCCCATCTCTACTAAAAATACAAAAATTAGCTGGGCACGATGGCACATGCCTGTAATCCCAGCTACTCGGGAGGCTGAGGCATGACAATCACTTGAACCCAGAAGGTGGAGGATGCAGTGAGCTGAGATTGCACCACTGCACTGCAGCCAGGGTAAACAGAGTGAGACTTTCTCAAAAAAAAAAAAAAAAAAAAAAATTGTAAAATTATGGTAAAGACCCCATAGTCAAATTTAAAAAAATAAATGACAACCAAGAAGAAAATTTTATAACCAATATAAAAGAGAAAAGATTCCTATCCATGTATGAAAAGCTTCTGCAAAAAAGTAAGACAAACCAATAGAAATATAGTCAAAGGATATGAATAGAAAATACATAAATAATGGCCAGTGAACATGAAATGTGGCTGACCTCCCTAATAATCAAAGAAATACAAATTAAAACACAATCATACCAATTATCATGTAATAGATTGGCAAAAATATAAAGGATAATGTGTATATTCATTGCAGTGTTGCTTATAATAGTGGCTTGAGTGACCTCCAGTAGAGGTGATGTTTAGATATATTTTGCTGCATTCTTGAAAAGGAAATGTAGCATAATGCAGCCATTTGGAAAGAATGAGATAACTATATGCACTCTCTTTGAAAGTTTTGTGATTACTATGTGCCAGGAGTTGCACTGGGCTTTCTTTAAAGTATTTTCAGCAAACCTGTCTTTTAATGATTTATATTGTACCTAATAAGAGATATATGAATGGAAAAACAGTTTTTGCTCTCACATCATGACAACACAAAAGACTTCTGTGACCAAATGTGTGGAGATTTCTCCCACTAACAAGCAAGCAATCAATTCTGCAACAGACACAAGCTGGGTATCATCTAATTCAGTTCTGACACTGTCTACTTGGAGATAGGGTCAGATCCCTCAGGTTTAGGGCTTAGTCCCGCAAGAGTGGCCCCCACTTCTGATGCTAGTCGCAAGCCCTGGGTTGTTTTACCTATGCTTCTGACTGACCAGCTATACATGGGGAATCCTACCACCCCCTCCTTGGGGTGTATTAATTTGCTCAGGGAGCTCACATAACTGAGGGAAACATGTTTTCCAGTTTATTATAAAGATATTACAGAGACCCTGGGCAACATGGAGAAACTCTGTCTCTACTAAAAATACAAAAAATTAGCGGAGTGTCATGGCTTGCACTTATAATCCTAGCTACTGGGACTGAGGCTGAGGTGGGAGAATCACCTGAACCCGAGAAGTCAAGGCTGCAGTAAGCCATAATTGTACCATTGCCCTCCAGCCTGGGCAACAGGAGTGAGATCCTGTCTCAAAAAAAAAAAAAAAAAAAAAAAAAAAAAAAGATATTAGGATACAAATACAGAGATGCATACTGTGAAGTATGGGAAGGGGCACAGAGTTTCCATGTCCTCCCTGGGTGTGATATCCGGGAGGTTCCTCCAGGAACTTCCATATGTTCAGCTATCCAGAAGTTCTTTGTACCCCATCCTCTTGAGCCTTTTATGGAGATTTCATTGGATAGGCATGACTGAAGTGTGGGACAATCATTTTGGAAATGTGACTGGACAAAAAAAGATATGATCTAATACTAATAGACTGAGTGGGAGACCCAGCAAGGCCTGGCTGCTCAGATTCTTCTTGGCTTCTCTATGCAGCACTCCTTCCAGGATACAGGGCAAGACCCATTCTGAAACAGGGGTCTTATGACCTACAACTAGACAAGATAGGTCAAAGAAAGGCAGGGATGATTAGAGTTCTGCTTTGGAGAGAAGGAGCAGGTGAAAGGAGGAGAGGAGAAAGTCAGAGATAGATTCTGTTTTCTGAGGCTAAAGCACCCTAACATAACAATATTATAACAAAGGCTATGGGAGTTATGAGCTAGGAACTGTGGACAAAAACATATATATGTATATGTATATATGTATGTTTGGAAATGATCAAATGATCACAGGCTCTACTTCATAGCCCTGTTGTGAGGATTAGATAAGACAGTATATAGTATATTAACACAGTGCTTAGCTTATATTAAACACTTGATACATGTTAGCTTTATTATAAATAAGGAAATACACTTTTATTATGTGAGGATATCTTGGAGCTTCAAATGCTTTAAAACTTTTTTTTTAGAGACAGAGTCTTGCTTTGTTGACCAGGCTAGTCTCAAACACCTATTCTCAAGTGATTCTCCTGCCTTAAACTTTTTTACATAGAGAAAGTTTTAGCAACAGTTAGGATGTGGACCTTGTTTTTTAATGTTAGGAGAATTGATTTTATTCAATATACTATTTATTTATTTTTTA